ATGAAGATAAATGATCAAGACGGAGGTTTACGACTGGAGACTTACTAGATAATTGTCGAGTAAAAACATTTTTATTCGTGAAAGGTGAAGAACTTTACAATAAGACATCTTCGATCAATATCTGACAGTTTGTAGTTTTGTCCTGGAGAGGCTCTGAGTAAAGTAATTATACTGTGGCTCACGCAGGGCCTCACTCAGCACCAGTGTCACAGTAACACAGCTTTGTACAGACGTCAGTGTCTCCACCTGTTCTTGAGTCTGCTTTTAGAACTTCTCACAGCCATTGTCTTGTCGTGGAATGTGCTAAGACCGCTGTAATTGATGTAATTTACTCGCTGAGACACAGTGAGAGACACGCACAGCAGCACCGAGGAGATCAGAGGACATCAGAACAGGTTGGACGCTCCCTCCTGTACCTGAGGCACGCAGACGTTTTAGTGGATACACTGGACTGCTTTTATCTATTCTGTCAGAAGTACACCAGGTTCAAGAGGCTCTGGGTTGTTTTTTTCCTTTAAGGCGTCACAATAGAGCCAGGGTGAAATAGACAAGAAGGAATAATGATTAATTAATCTCAAACCACTTCTACTCAACTGGCCCCAAAGGTCTCCCTGCAGTCAGACGAGCAGACATTAATAAATGACCTAAATGGTTCAAACAACCTGGTGAGGTGACACTGAATCGTCTCGGTATTCACAGCATGGCTTTGCTCAGGATTGTTATGAGCATCAACAATAATTTAATCTCCTTGCCATTAATTGGCTGCAATTTTTTTCTTCACGTATACAGTCACTGGTGTGGAACTGACAATTACCCCAGAGCCTAACAGGAGATACACAAAGGCTTTAAAAGACAGGGATGTGTGTTTGTGAAGCTAATATGTTACACAAGCTTAATGATAAGGGCAGGATGTCAGGCAGAGCTGATACTGTCGGGCTTGTTGAAGTGACTTTTGAGCCACTTCCCTCAGAGATAGACAGTGACATAACGCCAGCTTTCGAAACTGCATGTTCATTTTGCTTTAACTGCAACTAAAACATTCCATTTCATTATATTTTTTGTCTTCTGTTGTATGTTCCCAGTCGATAACGACGGTTATTGTTCCAGATTGAGACGAAGGGGGACAGAGCTTTTGAAATGAGAGCTCTGAGTCTCTGGACCTGCCTGAGGAAATACTACAGGCTGAGTCAGTGGCTTCCTTTAAAACCGAGGTTATAACGTACATTTATCGTAGAGTACTCACTGATTTGACCTAATTCTAGTTTTTATTTTAATGGGAGGTCATGTCGAAACTTCCGTCACAAGTTTAGTATTTTTAAACTTTTATTCTTTGTTTATCAATGAATTCGTTTTTATGTTAATTTCAAGTATTTTTGCTTGTGTGTTTCTTGTAATTAATTTATCATCCTAAATATTTTTGCTTCTCCATTGAAAACACAGCTCGAGTGAATCGTGCTCTGACAGTTAGTGGCCGCCTGCAGAAGTAGTCAAAGCTGACCATTGTCCTTCAAATGAGGTTATGAAAATGTTTTCCCCCCTTTGGCCTGCAGTGTAAACATCCACAGTGGTGCACGCCGCACATCCACTCCTCACTGCTGGAGCTTTCCTGCAGCCGATCTCTTGCATGTTCATCTGCAGCATCTTCAGTGATGAGCTGTGGGTTTATCTCTGATGACACAGTGGAGTCACACCTACATGTGGACTCACATACAGTTGTGTTGCACTGTATAAACGAGAATGAACATAGACACCATGTTGGTCAGGAGGAATGTGACCTGTGGGGACGGGCAACATTTTATGTAAATTTCTTATTCAATAGCTGTTTACTGTACATCAGTCAAACCAGCTTCCTGCTCAACAGGGCCATTTACAGCCTGTCAGGCTTACTTTACGTAAACACACTCTCTGCTGAACACATTTATTCTCTTGTAAATAAAAACTAAACGCACTTTAAAACATTATCCCACCAGTGATGGGCATAGTTTTGGGGATTTGACAGAAACCATGCTGTATCTCTCAGGATAAGTGATATTAAAGGGAGGAAATCGTTGTTTTAAAGTATGACGGACGGATTTATTTGGAACATCTGTAGCCCTCAGCTTGGACTGGCAGGAGAACAGTGGGCTAGTTTTATAGACAGCGTTTGTCGTGACAGGGTATTTCCTGGGAGCAGATGAGCCTTCATAAATGTGACTTGATGTAGGTGTGTATCCAGCCTCAGTGACAGCACATGTTTTATAAGATTTCCTGTTGATTTTTGTGAAAAGAAGAAGGTGGATCTATCTGTGAATTTGTTATACTTTATCTTTGAAGTTGAGGATATCCACATTTCACATGTCTTTTGTACGTTGATAAATCAGTTCAAATATAACTACAACCTCTCCCGATTTCTGGAACCCAGCTTTGTTGATTGTAATGCTTTTATTATTATTTTCATTGGAATTTAACAAGTAACAAGTACACATCAAATTCCTAATGAAGCCACCACCAACCCTCCCCAGGATCTTCTCATGGCTACAAAGAAAGGAGAGAGAAAAAAAAAATATTTGATGATATTATGCCACGATAACAACACTTACAGTAACAATCCTGAAAGAGAGATCAAAATCCTGGATTGTTTTCACGGACTGATGAGAAATACTTTTGAAAGGGCAAATGGAACTGTTCTGAAAGTAGCACACCCTGATTCAGTGTAAAAGGCGTAGCTGCTTTTATTAAAAATAAACAACCTGACAAGGCTGTGCTATGCCCTTTGTCATGTAAAGAAAGCATCACTTTGCAACTAATGAGTGCGACATCAATTCATCATGGCATTACTCTGACACATACACACTAAATTATATACACTGAAACTAAAGATTGTATCATAGCTGTCAGGTTTATTTTTGATTTCGCCAAGTTTACCACCAAGGAGTCATTGGATCCCAGCATCTAAAACTACATATATACACTTCTTACTCAGATAGAAGCAAGGTTAATGAGCAGCAAAGGTAACACTAAATAAATGTGATGGCACTGTCAGGGCCCAGCCAACACGAACAAGTGATAATGAGCCTTAAGAAAGTGGTGCAGCTTATCAACAAATCACAAAATTGCATGGGACACAGAGAGAGAGAGCTGGTTATGTGTTGTCCCGCTAATTACCTAAAACGAGCCAGTTAATGATGTGAGCGTATGTATTTTTGACAGAGTGCTAAACAGTGAGATTCAACATTTTCTGGCCCCCGGCTTTAAAACCCGGCCGGAGCAGCTGGTGGTGAGTGATTGCAGCCCTCAACTTTATCTTATCTCCAGTATGCACTACACCCTGCGTGTGTGTGCGTATGCGTGTGTCCTGCAGGGCTGTGGCTGCAGGGTGAGTTGGCAAAGCTCTTCAGAGAGTCAGACCTGCACAAAGCAGTTTTCAGAGTCATTTAACATTATGCACAATAAACCCGCAGCACTAAACACACGCAGGCTCGTGATGGAGGCAGCAGAGAGGGAGAGGAGGAGTAGTGAGAGGTGGAGAGAGAAAACACAGGGTGAGGTGGGACGAATTCAGCACCTGTGAAACCCAGACTATAATAGATTCATTCATTAATAATAACGAGATTGTAGATTCCATTTTCTCATTGCTTTGTGAAATTAGATTTTTTTTTGTTCTTCAAATGACATTTTAATACCTTTAATGCATTGATTTTTGAAGCACAGCATTGGCTAGCTATATACTGTCTAGTTCATTAAACCATGCACTGATCAGCATTAAATACAGCACAGAACAGTAAATGATTTCAGTATCAGTAACAAAGTTATGTAAAACGATTATTTTTTGATATTCTTCCCCAAAATAGGGTTATGGAATGACTTTCTTTCATCATTCCATGATATCACATGTTCAAAAGTACAGTTATGTTATAATCTGATTACTGTCCCTTATCCCGCTGGTTGGCCTCAACAGCTGTGGGACAGCGATGCCTCTACCTTATATAACGCGCCCCTCCTCTCCTCTCTCATCTCTTTTCCTTCCTCTCCTCACTCTGTATGTTTATGCTGATGATGTGTCAAAACTCTCCAGCCGTCCTACCCAGCTCCCCTCGGTGCTGTCAGGAGTCACATCTCCTGCCCTTTCTCCTCTGCAAAGACAGAGATCTCAGTCTGAGAGCATTAAAAATTCAGGTCTGGTTTGGTCGGTCCTGCTCATGAATATAGACCAAAAAGCCCCATAAGAACAGTTCCTGGTCGTCCAGTGAGGACCGGGGCAATTAGAGGAACACATTTTAAAGCACTCGTGTTCCTTTCACTGGGACATGAGTTCAGCTGTACGAAATTAAGATGGAGGAATTATTCATGGCCGTGCAGCCACCGCTGTGCTCTAGTGGGACAGAATGAATGCTGCTGTGTGATGTAGTGTTAAGTCCTTTGCATGTGGTCAGTGTAATTGTAATTCCAGCATTACTGCATCAACCCTGACATGTTTTCGTCCTGATGATTAGTTTTATCTCAACAAACTCACACCACATAAGCCTCTCTCTGTCCTACACACTTTCTTTCCTCTATGTCTCTTTCAAGCTCTGCTGGACTGGATATAATCCAAGCTGTACTTTTTTCTCACAATCCTCCTCAACAACTCTCCCCACACATCGGATCCTGTAAAACCTTCACCCTTCTCAGTGTCAGTACTCGGTGCTGTATCGTCTGAATCATGTATTCCTTTTGCCAGGTTTCTTGTAGCGAATGCAGTATAACAGGAATTTTAATTGGTCGGAGTTGAATGGAGGTGTCCTCTGGCAGTCCTTCACTGAGTCTGTGGCTGACTGGTATCACATAGTTGATCTTGACAGGTCTTGACTTAATAAGTGGAGCAGGGAGCTGAAGTGCTTGGCTCAGTCCAGTCGCAAATCAAGTTTGCAATGAAGCAAAGTGAGATGAAGACTATAAATATGACAATGTTGACAAATATATTTATGGATCTGTTGTTGTGTGCAAACTAATATTGTCTCCTGTTTCTTTCCCCTCCGCAGTCTTCATCTGCAGCTTCATGGTGGCGGCTCCTATCTTCGGTTACCTGGGCGACCGCTTCAACAGAAAGGTCATCCTGAGCTGTGGCATTTTCTTCTGGTCCATTGTGACTCTGTCGAGCTCCTTCATCAGCAAAGAGGTACGGCACAGTGCAGGAGACGTGCAGCAGAAGAGCTCCAGTGTTATCGTATTAGGCTGCCACGCCTGTGATATGGTCCCAACTGACGAGCTAATTATTGTGTTATCATGAGGATATGCTTGATGTTGAGGCCAGTGAAATGAAATGACACGCTTGTTAAGTCAGACACCCGCTTGGCCTTTGTAGACATTCTTTATATCTCCCTCTCTCCCTCTCTTCTTTTCTGTCTTTCTTTTGCTGGCTACTAGCCAATCAACTAATGACGGCCCATGCCTCAGAGTTGTCTCCATTACAAAGCTTTAGACGACAAGTTTCACTGCCCCTTGACAAGAGGATTTAGATTTGATATCCGTAAAAGCCTCCGTGTGCTGGGATGTGTCGGACACATTAAAACAATAACATTATTGTTTAGGGGACGATGTGGGGGATGGGTATCTCACTGAGAGAAGCCTTCACATTACTGTGAAAGGCTCTGTGCATCTATGTGTGGGTGTGTTGACTCTGGCCGCTTCCATACTACTGTGTATGAAAACAGGGTTTTCAAACCAAATCAATTTCCGTCCAAACCAGCGTTCAGTTTTAATCCCCTGATCCTTACAAACATGCCTGAAAATAATATCACATGACCACTCACGTTCACTGGCATGCGTGTGCCGTTGTACACAGGAAGTATTTGGGTTTTAGTTGCAAAGACATCAGGGTCAGAGAAGCTTGTAATCGCCTATCCATGTTGCGTTAGCCGAGGCTGATGTTGGGTTTTCTTCCCGGAAGGCGGTCATGTAATTGGAGCGTGACGAATCAGTGAAGGCTATGATTTGACTGAAAAGACCCAATTAACAAGCAGTTGTGAGTCTCTACATCATCATTTCTAAATATCTCTGTTTCTGCCCGTCCAGACTAAAATGCAGAGTTTTCAAACTAAAAAGGGCCCAGCCTAGTTTCTAAACTTCTCAGTTTTAGCGGCTCTAAAACTCCAGTAGTGTGGACGGCAGGTGAATCAGTAGCAGAGATGATGTGCGCCTAAAAAAAAAACGTATTAGTGTGACTGTAGCCTCTGATGTATAGTCTTCATGAACAGTCGTGAAACAAACTGAGCAAACTGATAATGTAAAGTCGATCATCCAGCAGAGACATGTGGCTTTAAAGCTACAGCACAAGATAAATGTTTGCATCACACGGCACGTCTGCCGAGCAGCGTCATGGAGTCCCGCGCTGAGTAAAGCCTGCTCCCCGCTCATCAGCCCAGAGCTGTGGAAGGGGATGACAGCTCAGAGATGATGACGCTCCCAGGAGGGCACCCTTCCACTTAAATCCCCTATAGACTTGCATGTGAGGAGACAAGATGGCAGCCATTCGCCTAAGCAGGGAATACATTCATGCTGCTTCTGGCCGAGATGAATATAAAGGGCCTCTTCCGTCTTCCTCTCTGACATGTGATGGAAAGGCCACTGACTGCTCACAGGGAGATGGAGAGTGATCCTCTGCGCTCGCATTCCTTCGCCCTAAACTTTTAATTCCATCCTCAAGACATGTTCCACTGCCAATCAAACGAGACAATAGTAGACGGCTCTTATGTAACACCACTACGGCACATGAGAGATGAAAGACATGACACGGAATGAAATGTTAATGACCACTTACAACCGAGTCCTGTCATTATGCATTTAAGACACTCCGGGGCCTTTTGGGCGGATTTGCCGCAGATATGGAATACAGATCTTACATAAGAGAAATTTGTGTCACAATGTGAAACTGCATATTTTCTTCTGCATGGCCACTGCAGATCATCGTCCTATAATGATAACTTGTAGGTCAGCTGAAATTTTAAACACTTTAGTTGCGGCCACCTGTGGCTTCCTGTGCCTGGCTGTGATCACATCTTTGAAAACATACATTTACTCTCTGTTTTCTTAAGTTCATTTCTATTTGTGATTTTATAAGCAAGAGTCTTTTCATTCAGTCTTATAGTATAATGAGGGTAAAACAAGGATAATAACCACTGAACTACTGTTGTTGTCTAGCAGCTGTTCTAAGATTTCTTTTTTGTTTTTGAGGACACTTGCATGCAGTCCAAAATTTGCAACCAAACAGACTGTACTGAACAAGCTCCAGGTACAATATCCAGCTACTGGAATTGTTATATTGCTATTGATGAAAATTATATCATTATTATTATTGATACTTTGTTTTGCCCAGCCCCACTATTAATGAATGTCATAAAAAATGTCAAAAATCGGACCTTCCAGTCTAAATTGAAATATTGAGTGTGCAGAATGCCGCACTCATTAGTGTCAGATATAGTTCTAATTGAATCCATAGCCTTGTTTTCTCAGCATGTAAGGGAGATGTGCTATAAAAGCCACTAAAAGTTAACTGATGATTACACACATCAGCATGTTAGAGCTGTCCATCAGAGCATGTTAGCACCACTGTGCCTGTGCAGCCTGACAGAGCTGCAGCCATGGCTGGAGACTCTTTTGGAAACGGGATCAAAACACTTTAAAGTTTGAAGTAAATTATTCCCAATTCTCTTTCATCTCTCCACAGTCCTCCGTCTGCTTTCACTGTCTCTAAACCTCATTTTCATGGAGCTTCCCTGGCATTAGTCCTCTGAGCTTTTTTTTGTAGTCGCTTTACTTGCATTTTTGTTCCAAGTGATGATGATAGCCTGGTGGCCACACATACACACACACATAGAGGGCTACCGTCATGATCCCACCAGCAGCCTGTTTTTCTTCCGTTTAAAAGAAGAAAATAGATTTAGAATCTTTCGAATCAATGCAACAAACACAAAGATGATAAAGCAGTGGAAGCTCAGTTGGGATCAAACGCAAACATGGTAGTTTACATATATTTCAAACTAAAGGTTAAATGACACAGGCAAAAGTCAACAGTGAAAATGATATGCATGTGACAGTTTCAGGATGCAGTCCCTCGAGTGTCATCTTACAGTGAGGTGTGTGTGTGGTGTTGGATGTTTGACGGCTGTGTGTATGACCCTATGACATGATGTGGCATCCAGCAGCATGAGGCCTGCAGTGATGGATGAGAGCTCAGGTCAGCTCCGGGGTCAGCGTCTAGGCTAATGGTCTCTGCTACTTACAGCACCTTCATTAATCTCTGTTCACGGCTGACAAACTCAATAGAGTGCAACCATATCACACTCCCATGCAGCCACACTCACATTATCAGAGCCAGCAATGGGAAAGCAGAAAATATACCCACATAGCAACATCAAGGAAGATGATTTTTATGCAGTTTCTACAGTTTTTACTTTATTGCTCAAGATATACGTGCAATTAATTTCACTCATAAACAGACTGATCACAAGTTAGTCCCCAGTATTTGCAATTTGCATCATTCCACAGTGTTGGGGAACCAAATATCTTTGCAGCTTTAAAAGCAGACATCGTAGTCTGTATCCAGTGAGTTGTGGTTGCCGTGGAAACAGTTAACAATCCAGCTGCCTACACAGGTGCCCCCTCCAGAGTGCAAGCTCCTATAAAAGTCTTATAAGGATTCACCTCTTTTATTTATCAGTTTACCACATGCAATAGAAGATACTGGTAATATAACAAGACTGACACGTTAAGCTCCTTCACACTGATGAATTTCACAGTTCCAGGAAGTGAAATTATTTTGGTTAGTGGATCACGTAATAAGAAGAAAAAGAAGAACAAATATGAGACAGTAAATTGTATTTCACTGTGCTTTTCTAGACACTCAAGGGCGCCTCAAAAATTTTCCCCAATAAACACATGAATAATAAAAACCAAGCGTTAAGATCAGATAAGGAGACATAAACAACTATCAACACAAATAACATCGTAAACTTGTGTAAGTCATTGCCTCACATTTGTTTCAGTTCAGTTCAGTGTTCAGCGCTGACGTAACACATTTTATTATTAAATCAGCAGTTAATCAGTAAACTTTCAATGTGCTTCACAGCCCTGACTGAACATTCACAGACGTGCTGAGCTCTTTTTTGTCCCATAAAAAACATTCAAAATCAATAGAAGAAAAAAGATGTCTGAACAAGAAACGTGGCCTTTGAGTCCACATTCTCCTCTCACAGAAAGTTTCCCTGTAGGGTTGAATAATATTTCTCTGTCTCTGTCTCTTTCTATTTCCCTCTCTGCAGTACTACTGGCTGTTTGTGCTCTCCAGGGGACTGGTGGGCATCGGTGAGTCCAGCTACTCGTCCATCTCTCCCACCATCATAGGAGACCTGTTCACTAACAACAGCCGCACCATGATGCTGTCCGTCTTCTACCTGGCCATCCCCCTGGGAAGGTAAGAGAAAGACAGGCCCTGCATTGTTGAAGCAGACATACAACAAGATGCAGGATGGGATCTATTCTTTGAGATGTCAGTGTGGATGTTAAATCTCTTATGAAATTGAAATCCAACCTTTCTTTAAGTGTTAAATCCGGACGTTCTGCAGAATCAGAAGCATTTTCATTAATTTTTTAAATCATCCTCACATAGTGAAGGTCGGCCTCGCTCCAATCTGGCTCTTTTTCCCAGCTGCAGCCACACAAAGAGCTCAGGCCCTGCGCACAGAGAAAAGAAAACTTACAATTGGCTGCGTCAAGCTTTAAGGAGGTTGGGAGGCTTTTCAGGAGATGTGGCGTGGGGATGTGGGAGAGCAGGAGGTATTATTAAGCCTAAATCTCCAGCCTTTTCAGCTCATTCAATCAGAAAAAGGGCCACAGGGAGAAAACAAACAAAGCCAAGTAATAAAAGATGAATGTACCGGTGGATGCGGTGCAGGAGCCACTTGAGGTTTATTATTATATACAGTGCTTTATAGCATGTGTCTGAGCAGCAGCATGCTGTACTCTTCACCATGCAGCTACTGCTCATGGAATCACACAGAGGGAGAAGCAGAAGAGAATAGAAATGTGATGCAGCCTCAAAAACACAGTGAGCATAACAGTGACTGCAGGTAATTATTTACATGTCACTAAAATGTGTCTTTGCAGAACACAATGGAAATGATGAATTGTTTTGTAGCGTACTAATGTTTATTTGAATATAAATAAGCAAAGGAAAGGCTCAAGGCGCCCTGAGTGCTCGTGTTATGAGCTGCTGACATGTTTGGGTCACAGTAAACTGTCCGGCAACACAGACAATAGAAGGTGAAAGAGTTGGCCTCACTAAAGTGCAGTCAAACATCCTATCCAGCCTCCCACTTGTTTGCCATTACTGAGGTTGTTATGACCATTTCCAGGAAATGACCTCAGGAATTAGACCCGATTCGCAGGAAATGGATTCCGCTCTCTCCCTAGTTTCTCGGCCCCTGCAGATGGTGCCCTGCGTGATGTCAGTGTTTGATGTGAGCATGTATTTCATGCTCAAGTTTAATGGTTGGTGTTGAACTTTCCAAACACTCTCTGGGTGGACTCTGATAAGATTAGCCGTTAGTCACTCACTGGAAATATCATATGCTGTCTGAGCCTGTTTATACGGAGCTGTTATTTTTGGAGAACTAATCATGGAAGCACAACCATGGGCAGTTTCCCTCTTTGCTCAGTGTGTAAATCCAGTTCAACATGATTTTGGCCTTTTAGCAGCCAATGCTGATGAGAACTCCAAAGTCCCATTTCATAATCAATCTACTGCCCCAATCTGCTATTGTAATGAAAAACAAGTCTGGCAGCCAGAGGCTGTGCACAAGCAGACAAACAGGTTCAAAGAACCTAAGAAATGAGAACATCTGAATGACTTTAGTGACTAATTGTAGTAGAAGAGACTCAATGAACTGTGAGAAGAAGCTAGTGAGTGACAAGTTAAAAGAAAAATCAACATAAAGTGTCTCCATAAAGTGTTGGGCCCAGGAAAGTAGCTTCAGTGTTAAATCTGCAGACCTCTGTTGGAGGGATGAAGGATATTCCTTCATTTCAGACTTTAGATTATGTAAAGTGTTATAGACTGTATATAAAGCTAGTCTGAAGCCAGGCTAAATGTAGCTTTTATATGGTCTAATGCAAGTTTCAGACTTTGAAATAATTTAAAGTTTATACATAACATATATTCTGGCCTGGTCCTTTGCTGCGTGGTTTCTCTGCTCTCTGTCCCCATTTCACATCTATTGTTCTATCAATAACGGCACAAATGACCCCCCCCAAAATAAAATGAAGTAAAGGGGAACTAACTGTTCTCTGCCTGACTGATGGGGTTAGTCAGCCTGAGTTTATTTTCCTTTTAATTGTTATTTAATCTAGTACAGTAAAAAAAAAATAGAACAGCACTGTGCAACTTTGTGCAGTCGATGCATTCAGACATCTACTGTATCTGAAGTAGTTTAATCTAAGTCCTAGGTCTTGATGCTGGTTTCAGTGGTGATAAGATCTGATTATCATATAATATAATTCACATAATTTTCATACTCATAAAACATTTTGATTTGACATTTGATAACCTCTTGTGTTCTGTATTCAGGCTGGAAAATAGCTCCATTCTCTTTGTCTGCAGGCTCTTATATAAATATCAATGGCTATCCAGCTGTTTATCTACTAGTGCATGACTGTTTTCACGATAATGCCTGCATACACAACTTTCTCTTACAGCCGTTCATACCTTCAGTTTATTTAAATCCTCCTTGTCCTTAAAAGGCTGATGTGATCTCGCAGCAGAGGCTTATCACAGCATAGCGGCCTCTTTATCTGATCAGATCTGATCGAGCAACATACCCCTCAAAGCGTTTCACCGCTGTATCCCTCTGTGACACAAAAAACCCTGTAACTCAGCTTAAAATGCTGTGAAATTCAATTACACTGTGACAACACACACAGCCTTCAGCCAGACAACCGCGTTAGTGTTGTGCTCTGACGGCTCACGGGCTATAACCCTGCACCTGTATTTTTTGACCACACGCACACATCACCGCCACAAATAGGCTGACTAGCCAAGTTGCTACTGGTGCTGCGATCAGTGTCATAAGCTCCGCGTGTCAAGTAGCCAAACACTCAAACAGGATGTGTAGGCGTAAGTGATAAAGACGACGGAGTCTGCTTACCCAGGACACCGACTCGTGTACTTTATATATAATGTGGTTCACAAACATATATACTTGTTATGTGTTGCTAATACAGTCTTCATGTCTCTGCAGTGGGTTGGGTTACATCCTGGGTTCCAGCGCCAAGGAGGCTGCAGGAGACTGGCACTGGTCGCTGAGGGTAAGGGCACCATCATCCTCCACCAACACCGCACACACACACACACACACACACACACACACAACACACACACACACACACACACACACANACACACACACACACACACACACACACACACACACACACACACACACACACACACACAAACATGCACACAGAGACAGATGAAGAGTCCTTCCTGCTGGGCTCAGTGGTAAGGCCTGTCATGGATCTGAGGTCAGAGGGGGTCGTTGGTGGAAGAAGCACCAGGCGGTCCAGGCCCTGACACTGCGAGGAAGTGACAGAGAAGGGAGAGCTAAAGGGTGAACAACTTACACAACAGCGTCCTCATCAGCATCAGCGCAAAGCGATGTGCAGAACCCTAAAGATTTTATCACCAAAATCAGGGTTCAAAGTACAAGCAAGCAGCTCAGCTCTGATCTGATGGCTGCAGCAAGGAGAGTGGATTTCTATTAAACATCAAGGCTGATGCCTGCTTTATGCGTTCTCAGTAGCTGTAAACACATTTATCTTTTATTGCACTTTACCCAGAGGTCATCTCGGGTGAAGCGGGATCAGTGTCAGTGAAATAACAAAGTGTCAGTGCTTCTTCTATCTGGGTATTGTGTCTTTTTCACTGCAGGAGCATTCATGAAACTAAATCCATATTTTCTTTGTTGTCATCTCGCTATGAGAAGTTATGAGAGGGGAATTTTGGAGCTACTTGACATGCTATACTAAATGCATGTTCCAGGTACATGTCTCCTGTAACCACCAGCCGTATATAGCAACAAAGGAACAGTTTGAAGTACTTCTGCTAGTGGAGCAGGTCCCCCCATGACCCAGATCTGATTCTTTAATGACAGTGTGAACAGCACCAATCACATGGAATCTGATCTTTTTTAATCAGATTTGGACCACTTTAATATGTGGTTCTAAATCAGATGCATATCAGATTTTTTTTAAATGCAACCTCAGTCTGAACAGCCGTGTGGCCGAAATCGGAATTCAATGCGACTTTTACTTCACTCCCGATAGACATTCCTCATAATTTTGCACAGGCGAAGGGGAAGGCGGACACAAACATTGAAGACATCTTTGACTGTTGAGGTGATCTACTGAATCAACAGAGAAGGGACCAGGGTTTTAGTTTGACCTGGCACACGGACTCATTTGTTCGTGCACTGGCTTGTTAAATGTCCCGAAGCTGCTCCAGGACAATTAAGCTGGGTCTCTTTTAATTAAAGGCTTCAATTTAAAGAAAAAGGAATCTGTAGAAACATTCTGAGATCTCCACCTTCACATAAAGAGGAAAATCCTTTGTGGACTGTTTTGCATTTTCACACTTACTTACTGTGAACCTAGGAGTAGATGCAGGGGCATAAATCGCTGTTTTACAGGGACTCTACTGAGTAAGTGAGACAAAACATTTAGAGGCGACATACCAGTCGTAATGGACAGGACCAATGAATCCTCTGACAGGACTGCACAGAAATGAGTGACTTCAGGGTCACCTTTTAAAATTCTTACAACATATTATGACCCAACTCCTCTTATGAACCGAGTGACATTTAAAGGAAGACATTAAACATTCTCTCAGCGTGTGGTGGCGGTGGAGGAGATTCCTGGACATGACAGCTCGCCAGGGTTCAAGGAAACAGGATGTCGATTTTCTCCTTGCCTCTGTGGAACATGAATAAAAGAAAAAACAAAGAGCAGGGCAGTTTGTTCCAAAGCGGCTACAATGACATTCCAATAAAACAATCTCATCGCTGATTAATCACTGGTGTGGCATGCGGGAGGAAAACAAATACCAAGACATGAAAAAGCTTGTGTGCGTCGGGATCCTGCGTTAAGGAAAAAACACCACAGCGCTTCCGTTTGTTTGTGTCCGACTCTTTCCAGATACCTTCCTGATAATGTGAGCGGTAAGATGGAGCAGGGGAGAAATGACGAGGAGGAGAGGGAGGTCATTTGTTTGATTGCCAACCGCCCGTAAAGGAAATGTATAATGGGCCCTGTGGGAGTCAAGGTCAAAGGTCACAGACTCCTGGTGTCATGCTGAATAATAATGAAGGGACTTGAGAGCAAACGTCGCGCAAAAACAAGCTAATATTTTGTTTTTCGATGAGGTGAGCTCTGTTGCTGCGTCTCTCTGGAAGCACATCATACAATTTTGATGCAGACTTCGATCCAATTAAGTTGCTCGACACGTGAGGGAGAAGATTGGTGAGGAGAGACAATATGGGAAAGGAAATTATCAGCGTTGGTGCGATCATCACACCTCTGAGACCAATACCGTTGCATTGAGCCACATTATCAGCCATGTTATGAGCCGCATCACACTCTGGATTACTTCCTCAATGAAAAACCTGAGGACACCCACGTACACGCCAACACACAACCACGTTTCACACTATCGCAATACTTATACATATAAATGGGCTTTTATGAGCTGCGAAGTATAATGTGATGAATTTCCCCAGACAGATGAAAATGTTTTTTGCTTTTCTGTGCACTTTGTTTTTCTCAAACAAATGCCCTCCCACACATCCCATCCTGTCTTTTGTCTTTGTCTCCCCCACACAGACACACACACATGCACAAACATGCTTCCACCTAAAAGAAAAGATGATAGTGAACGTTAAAGCAGATGGGCACTTCTGAGGTTTTCACCTCGGAGCAGGGCTCCCAAGGCAGGACTCAAAGCCAGAAAACTCCTTTTGAGTGTTAAACACATAGACAAGCCCACACATATAAACACACATACACACACAGTGCCAGCGGAGTAAGCAGGGGGAATGTTCTTCAGCTCCACAGAGCTTGTATAGGATGTCAGGCGTGGCTGTCCATTCAGACTGTAAACACACTGCTCTTTGTCCGGTATTTCACATCTGTTCCCTCCGAACCGCTCCCATGTCTGACCCGGTGTTCATGGCTGTCCAGTCAGTGCAATGTGTAAGCATGATCTGAAGCCTAGTACATTTTTCTCGTCCTGGTAGGTATCCCCCGTTTTAGGGATCACCGCGGGAACCCTGATCCTGCTCTTTGTGCCAGATCCGAAGAGAGGCAGTGCTGACCCGATGGGTGGACGCATCAAGACCCGCACTTCCTGGTTTTGCGACATGAAGGCACTTGCCAAGAAGTAAGGCCTGTGCTTGGCTTAGGGGGGGGCACCAGGTTTTTGGGAGAGTGGCTTTTAGTTGGACAAAACTTTAACAACCCTGAGCTGTGTGAAATTAGATTTGTTTTTTAATTTTGACTTTGATATTTTATATTCTAAAAAATCTAAATCAAAAACATTATTGGCAGAATAGTAGATAATGGAGATTATTCTAGACCCTTACACATCACTCATATGTATTTAGCCAAAGCCTAAAGGGGCAAGGAAATGTCAACACAGTGAATACGATTTTCTCTGCTTGTGCTCAAACTGAGGGCTTGCATTCAGATTTCCTGCACTCCAGCTTCAGCTCTCCTCGTCGCACTCATGCTCTCAATAAGAGCTGAGGCAGAGGAAATCTAAGCACAAGCATGGTATATGAAATCTGTCAGACTCTCAAAATGAAAGATCATGCTCTTGAGTAAAGGAAAAAAAACCTACACCCAACCAGGTAATCTGCCCAAATCATCGGTTTTACAAAAAGAAAGCCTTTGCAAGTCTTATCTTTAAGATTGTGCTACAGAAAACGGTGCTTTTTAAGACAGCATAATCATGTGTGGGATTTTGAATGTAATTTTTGGGTGCATGTGTTTCTTCTTGCCTAGTCGCAGCTACGTTTTCTCCTCCCTGGCATCAGCGGCGGTGTCCTTCGCCACAGGTGCATTTGGTATGTGGATCCCAGTGTACCTGGCTAGAGCCCAGGTGGTGCAGAAGACAGCGGAGCCCTGCACAAAAGAGATCTGCAGCAGCACAGACAGGTGAGAGCTTTAATGACTAAACATGGAGAACAGGCTTTGAAGTCACTGCTGCCTCTGTTTGACTTGTGCAATGTGAAACCTGTAAAAATTATTTTGTGAACCAAGCGTAAAAAAAATGCATTAACTAGGTTTAGTTGTTATTGGTGTAGTCACATGCAATAAAAAGTAAATTGAATAACAGGTATGTCTTCTCTTCTCTGCTCCCCCGTCCAGTCTGATCTTCGGGGCAATCACCTGTGTGACGGGGCTGCTAGGAGTGGTCATCGGGGCGGCCACCACACGCCTGTGTCGACAGAAGACAGAACGAGCCGACCCACTCGTATGTGCCGTCAGCATGCTGGGCTCGGCCATCTTCGTCTGCCTCATCTTTGTGGTGGCTAAGAAGAGCATCGTAGGAGCTTACGTAAGACTCATTTCCTGTAACAGTCGGTGCATGTAGAAACTGTGTCTGCAGGAGGAAGTTGCTTCCTTTTCAAACCACAGAGGGAGATGGGATTATACCCAATTTTGCTTTCCCCAATCTCCAGAACCAACAGGTTTCCGGTGTGGAAACAAAGAGTGATATTAGTATGTTAATTGTGGATTAGCCCCAGGGAGTGAGAATTAAAAGGGAAAAGTCTGGTAACCAATGTAACAAGACAAAGCTTTGTAAGAGCTCACCAGGGTGGTGTTAATGTTTGAATCACAGTGCCGGTTGCTTTCCGGCCCAGAGGCACAGTGAATAGTTTAATTGCAGTTGCAGGTTAGCTGAGGCTCATACCTTAGCTGGCCAAATTTCAAGTGTGCATAGAGAGTTTGTGTGTGTCCAATTTGCCCTGTGAAGCAGGAAAGGGTGCAACTTAACAATAGCTGCCCTGAAACAATGCACTCTGAGCTTCTGGACTCACCAAGCCTACATTTCTCACTCTTATCAGAGACAAAGGCGTAGAAACAGACTCTCGACAAGTTGGCCAATCTGTAAAAGACGGGAAATATTTTCCATGCGTGTGAGCGAACATAACAAACAGGTTTCCATATCCTAAATATGTGACCTTGGCTGACTTTGAAGTTTGGAGTCTGACCTTTTTACTGTTTTACTGCTGAATCAGTGCAGGGCTTCTTCTGCAGTTTAGGTGTGTTGAGGTTGATAGACTGAAGTCAGTCATTAGCTGCTAAATAAAGTAGTTCCTATGTGACAAATAATTACTGATATAAATTATGATTTAACAAATTAAAATGTATTTAAGCGTCCATTAGGTCTAAGGCACACATTCATCTGAGGCATGACTCAGCCAATTAAAAACCAAGGTGTGGACGTATTCCATTTTAATTACACGATTACAAATCTGTCCAACTCAATTTCATACAGTGAGCGTGTGAAAGAAACCAGCTTTGTCACTATTGGTTTCCTCCTTTGTAAAAGGTGACAAAAGATGATTGATGCTGTCAAATGTTTTGTAGTGCAACAAGGCCCTGACTTCAAATAAGTGACTTCACGTCTGTGCAGACTACTCTACTGTAAAATATTGAATCATCTCACTCTACAGTAGCAGTAGTGAACTCAGGTTTCATGGCAAAGAGCTGACAGAGGTGTTATATTATAAGGCGTGACGTGGTGGTAATGTCCAGGCCGATAGACCACCTCGCAGCTGTTGTCTCTTCAACACGCTGCTAATCTGAGCTGAGGCCTGGGCTTCTCTCTCCTCTCCGAGGCAACATGTCGGTCACGGTGTCTGTTTCGCGGCTCTCAGGACAGCCCCGTCTACATCTGCGCTGTCAGACTCCTTCTGTAGCCCTCTGTGCTGCACCGTAGGTTTGGCACGCTGGCAGAAGGGTTATTCCCCCAGCAGGAAACCCACACATCAAGCGTCCGTGTTAAACCCTGCCAGACGAAACCAGTCAATAAAGATACATGAGATTCCACTGCAACCAAATCCCTCTGGGTCTGTTTTTGAGAAAGTGGCCAACAGCAGCTGCCTCCAGTCTGTGTGCATACAGTAGCTTACATGTACATAAAGTGTGTCCACTGCAAGATGTTGTTTAATTTACATTTCTGCTCCACCCATTCAGAAGTGGGACATAAATTCAGCCGGCTCTGAGTGAAGGAAGTGCTAAATGTTTCCACACTGAGAATAAAGCTTGGACAGGAATAAACAACACAAACCTTATCGTGCTGATTTTCAGCTCGTAGGCTAAACACTCACTAAAAGGCTCAATGGGACCAAAATGAAGGCCTGCACATCCACATATAATTGGGCCACAGCGTAATAACATGTTTCTAAACTGCCGCAGCCAAAGCACTTTTACTCAGCAGCGGATTCCCACACACGGGGGAAATATCTGCAACCTCCTCTTTTGGCTTCATGTCTGGTTAGCAGTCCTTTGTGCAGTAGAGATTGATTGTTCTTAATTAGCATGGCTAAATGTGCAATTTCTTCCTCTTTATTTAGGTTTGCATCTTTATTGGAGAGACGCTGCTTTTCCTGAACTGGGCAATAACAGCAGACATTTTAATGGTAAGTGCAGAGAACCTATACTTATTGTCTCGGTCACTGGAAATTCCTGCAACAAACGATAACAAATGGCAACGATCCAGTTGAAAATAGTTCCGAGTGGTAAAATGCTTGAGTGGACTTTGAAAGCTACAGTTTGGGTGGAGCCGATAATTATTGTCTTGACTGATCCTCAAGAAAACAAATGGAAAGGAGACGTTCTCTGATGTATGATGTGGGACATGAATGTGAAAACAGGCGGTTGATTCAGCCAAGACTTCCCATAAAGAGCATTTTACCAGCCAGCTCCTTAATTTGTAATCAGGCTGGAGACTACAGGGATACAGACAATTACTCTTTTATTTTTCATTGTGACTGACTGGTCTGTCTGACTTGTCCTGACCCACAGAGCCTCTATGTGTATAATTGATGACAGTAGAGGTTGTTGTAACATGGCTGACTGGATCGTCCCACCATTGTCTCTTCATCACCTCTCACGACTTCATATATTTTTAACCTCCTGTTTCCTCCTGTCTCTGTGCAGTTTGTCGTTATTCCAACCCGGAGGGCAACGGCAGTCGCCTTTCAGAGCTTCACCTCACATCTCCTGGGTGACGCGGGAAGTCCGTACCTGATAGGCCTGGTAAGATTCCCCCAGAGTCAACTATAGTTGTTTTCAGATGTGAACTCCTGGGAATGTCCGGACAATGGGGTTAGGACATTCTCCGGAGATGCCTTTCACATATCAAGAGCGCAGCAGGAGATTCTCCAGTCACAACAACAGAAATATTTTCAGTGTTGTGAGTGAGGGGTGACGGCCGGGTAGATCATGCAGGAGACAGGACATGACGTAGAAATTGGCTGTGGAGAATGTTGTTTACATCAACACCACTGCCGGCTGTTACCTGAACTTCTGATCTTGACATTTAAAAATTTCGCGTAAAGCCCCTACGGATAATGTCAGGAGATTATCTGGAGTTGAGTGCATGGCTGACGGCAGTTAATGTGCAGTGATCAGCGTGTGAAGGGGAATATTTAAGAATGATCTCAGGTCAGATATCCCATTCACCACTACTACACATGTGTAAGCACGCTGTTCATGCACAGACACACACACGTGCATTCAGATACCAGTTCAGCTCATGCTTTAAGTGTAAGTGGGCCAGTGCAAAGTGAGGCACAAGAGCAGCTTTTAGCACACGTCTCAGGAGATCTGGCGAGCCGAGTCGTGATTTCACCACTCTGCTTTTCAGGCTGTCAGTGGCGTTTTCCGGTAAATCTCGTTGTTCCCCCCCGGGAGGGACCGGTGTTACTGTATTTGATTGGTTAGCAGAGGAGACAGTGGCTGTTACTGGGACTCAAGGCCTCTCAAGGTCACGGCCAGCCCCACCCCCTCCACCCAAACTGCACACATCTCCGCCCATAGATTAGCATCCAGTAGGCCAGAACACAAATGCTGCTTGCTATTCAGCGGAGTGTGAAACAGGATTCACCTCAGACTGTCAAACTGCATTCTTATCGTTCCAAAGAGAGAGGGAACATTTGTCAAGTTCAATAGTAACTCCATGGAGGTAAACATCCTTTACGTCATACTTGAGTAAGCAGGACAAACTGTGCATAGACATCACGCAAACACATGCTGCAGTAACATAGCATCCATACCATAATCTATGCCATAGCCAATAATAACTATTTATATCAGTATGATTATGGTATTTATGGACTAATGATGTCATTAAATTGCTGAGGGAGAATAAACGGCTGTAGTGTTATGTATTTACTTTGTGTTTGTGTACCATCGTGACTCTGGCTCACAGCCCAGGTCATGTTAACAAAGGCAATGGAAGTATTTGATTAGTGAATCAAACACACACTGCTTTCTGTCGAGCCACATTGAAAGTGTCCTGGTTTTTTTTCTCCCTCTTAAATGGAAATGTTAAACTGTTGTCAGAACCAGATAAAAGGAGCTGTAAGTTAAATATCCAAGTACTGACAAGTTCCTCAAAAGACTGGCACTGAAAAATAAAATCCAAGTTCTGGGAATCAGGCTCAAAGGCTGCATGGCGCTGTATTGTTTCTTTCGCAGATCAAATAAAAACCCAGTGGCGTTTGGTAATGTACAAACACTTGAAAACCTTCTCACTGTCACTTTCACTTGGTTGATGTAAATGTTTGAATTAGTGTTTAAACAATGAGTCAAACCACAAAACAAATCAAGAATTTTCTTTACAGATTAAAGAAAGAAAATCAGCCGACTTTGAAAATATTAAACCGATGTATCCCACTACCTCCTATCAGCCCTCTCATCTAAACTACACTGAAAGTTTAATAAGTGTGTCAGAAACAAATTACCAATCCCTACCTGTTTAAGTGTTTAAGTTTTTAAGCAAATATACCCCACATTAGCTAGTTGGTTTTTTTTAAGTGAAGATTTGCTGCGATAATCTTCTTTAAATTATTGCAAATTTAGTTTGACAAATACAACTATTTGAAGATGTTATCTTGGGCTCACAGGTCCTTTAATGGCCATATCTAATTAAGTCAATGACAAAATAAACTAATCAAAATGACCAACACATAATTTGATGATTAAACTTTCACCATTTGTGGAAAACAAATGGCTCCATTATTCCAACAATATTCCAGTGTCCGGGCTCCAAATGTCAGCATAATGCAGCCTGAAAACAAACACACACAGACACTGTCAAGCAGAATTACCCAGACATGGCCTCACAGTGAGCCAGTCACCGCGGTCTTCTCCATCCAGCTTCGAGGGTCACGACTGAGTAAAGCAGCCAATGTCCGGGGGTTTCTCACTCCTCCACAAACCCCCGACCAACTCAAGTGCTCCAAGTGCGTCACCACTCACCGCCTCACTTCCTGAACTGAGGGTTAGCACGCGAGTGCGATGGGCTGGTCATGACGCACAGCGAGTGCAGGCTGATACAGAGTCGCTCCCATGTCAACTGGTGCGAATCCTGAGAATGAGCAAAGTGGAGTATCTCAGGGAAAGTAGACTGGGATTATTGCTAAGCAACCGCAGGAGAAAGTCAGCGAATCATTGTGTCAGTCGTTTTCACAATAGGGTTGTTTGCCACACAGACCTGCAGATGATGTGCTCGACTCTACAATCCAATGTTGGGTTTCCGGTACAAACACAACGACCACTTTAGTGCATCTGAAATTCTCCTGAGCCTGAGCCAGCGTCCCCTCTATCAGCGCGTAGACCAGAGGAGAGACAGTTGTCGTGTACGAATCCCCTGACAAACACATAATGGCCTCCTCCTATAGTGCACTGGTAGGACATGGCCACGGGCAGAGTGGGTGGCGGGGGAACGCCTGGAACAATCTCTCAGCAATCTCCCAAGAAATTCCGCCACGATAATTAGTCATGCAGTGAGTCGCGATGTATTTTTAGCTAAGCTGCACTGTGTACATTGCAGGCAATTAACTGTACCTGATGAAATAGACTCTGCACTGGCCACACACACACACAACTGCTGTACGTACACAGGATTCTTCACACACACACCCTCCTCATGACGCATGAATGCACCTTGCACATGCACATATGCACACAAACGATCCCTCCAACATCCCTCGATCAGCAATTCTCCAGATCTCCCCGTAAAGAAAGTCATTGTGCTGACGCTGACATATAATCAATGTGCTTCAGCCAGGGAAACCTACAGCCGCTCACGCAGAGACGAGAAGCTCTGTCTCGTTCCCGCTGCGCATACCTCCGCACAATCTGCTAAAAGCGGCCTCCTCTCCATCACGTTTGTCAGCACGGTGACCGATGCGTGTTGGAGAGCTGCCTCATCAGTGATACTGGGAGGCAGAGATGATCACATCACGCCCACCATTCTCCAGCTGGTGTTTTCCTCAGCACCACACATGACAGACTGACCGCTACGGCGTTACTGAAGCCCTCAACTGCAACATCAGAAATCCTGCCACGCTTAAAACCAAAAAACGCCGTGTTACATCCTGCGGCAGGTCATTTTTATCTGCTGCTGTGATGAAACATCTGGTAAAGTGCGTATCGTGTCATGTAGTGTGTCAAAGCATGACGGGATACTTCAAGAACTTTTGCCGGATGATTAGTTGGAATAAAATTTGCGTGTGTGTTTTTGCAGATCTCTGACGGCCTCCAGCAGAGCTACGCAACGTCAGCGCTATGGCAGTTCCTCAGTTTGGGCTATGCCCTCATGCTCTGTCCCTTCATCATCGTCCTGGGGGGCATGTTTTTCCTGGCCACTGCCTTGTTTTTCCTGGACGACAGAGAGAAGGCTGAGAAACAGTAAGTGACTCAGACATTGTTTCGATCGCTAGTCATTATTTCATTTATTATTTAGTTATTCATTCTTTAAATATTTATTACTTGCTTTGAGTTTTCCTCCACTGACTTTCTGAGTAAGAGCTCCCAAAATCCAAACGCACCACCTCTGTGCTGGAGGAAGCTGAACAAAAACCGAAATAATATTTTTATTCTGAGTGCCATGCATACATGAGCAGGTTTGAAACTTTTTCCGGACGATGCCATGCCCTTTTTAGCCCGATGCTGGGGTGTGACGCGTGTCGGAGTCAAGCTGCCCAGTGACACCAACATTGGTGCCAACCCTGCAAGACTCAGAATGGCCCTGGAGCCAATAAAAAGTCCCAGTCAGCTAAAAGTGCTCCAGAGCTGACACAAGCTGTTCTAGCCATCAATTTAAGTGTGCTTACTTAGACTTTTACCAGCTACCGCCCCTCGTTTTCGTGCATTCATATTTTCCTCTTTCAAACACCAAGACACAAACACATGAAGGCCACGGGAGCTGGTCATGGCCTTAAAAGGCTAAAACAAACTCACCCGTCCTCTTTCAGATGGTGAGACACGACTTCTTGTTCAGACTATTTTTTCCTACTTTTTTATCACGTCGACTCGCTCCCCTGGTGCCAGCGCTCTCAGAAATGACTTCCTTCCTGTCGAAGATGAGGAACATTTTTAGGCAGGATGGCAGACTGATGTCTGACGTCTGTCTACAGTCACTTTTTCTTCACCCTATGGAGCTGGCTGCTTCTCGTTCCCACAACAAATCATGACCAAAAAGAACAAATTGGTAACCAGGCAATTTATTGCATTTTATAATCCAAGGGTCAAGCTACCGCTCAACACATTAATACTCCTTCAGTGTAATGCTTCTATAAAGATTTAAGGGCTCTTTGCAAACACACAATTCCTGTGGCTTCTGTGCAGGGATAAAAAAGGGGAAAATATATAAATATAAATAAATATATAAAAAATATTGACTAAAAGAAAAGTCCCACTCTTCACAGTGCCAGTATTAGATACTAGTTTGTGGTTCGGACTATTAGACCACATTACTGCACGTGTGTGGGCAAATGGCACACGCTCAATATCTAACCACAGGCCCTTACTTTTCACACCACACGCTCCAGGGTAAAAGCTAATGGAGCAGCAGATGGAGTTTAGCAGTGCAGATATGAAACAGACACAGTTGAATTCACTGGAAAATCATTGCTGTGTTTTCACAGATATAATCCTGAACAGAAATGTGTCATGGTCGGCTTTTTAAGTCATCGTGTATTAAAGATTATACAACTACATTTATGAGCATATATTCACAAGTTATGAAGTCCTTTTCCTTGCATGAAATATAGAAAATTATAGAAATAGCAGTTTATGAGAACAAATCTTCATTTATAATTGTTAACAATCTACTTTATTCATAAGATACACAAAAATAATTCACAAAATGAATTCACACTAGTTCAGTGGTCGTTCTAAACCTGACTGTTTTGAATTGGCGGTTTTCTTTTCCTTTGGTGATGTTGGTTGCAGTTTTCTTTCTGAAACTGTGAAAGTGTCCTGAGTAACTGAGCCATTGCAAAGTAAAGACCAACCGCAGGACTCAGTTCGCAGACGCCTGAAGCTGCAGCGGCGCACAAAGAGCTGTTCACCTGTTTTTTTAAAGTTGGCTGAATCTCAAACTACGACCGGAGAATCAGTTGTTGCTGTTGTGATGGACAACCTCACTTACATGGAGTCCCAGGCCACTGCTACTGCTCGCCTTTTTAATAAACGTTTATTACTACTGAACGTATCGCATGTCCGAATCACTTCAGAATCAACAGTGCTCTCTACTGTTCTCAAGATATGCGTTCCACATAAAGACAGACAGACACACAGAGATTTCTTACATTATATATAGATGCCTTCTTAGAAATCTTTTCAGAAAATGCATTCATATATTGATCTTTTTGTGTGATTTAGACCTTTGCATTAGTTAATCATACACCAACGTTTAAGTACACAGCAAACATACTGCTGCATAGCTCACATAGTTTAGGCCTCAGCAGAACTGTATAGATTTGTTCTAGACATCCCAAAGAAAAGAAGAAAATCTAACTTGAGCAGCAGCAGCTCTTATGTAACAAGCTGCAAACAGCACCTCAGGGACCAAGACAGACAGCAACATCTACAACTTTGTACAATCAGGGTTGTTCCATGATTGTGATATATTTAGACTTCATTCACACTCCGACGCCCCCAGTTTATACATTTTCCCTGATTTTACAGTGTTTTTTTCCCTCCGTTGAGTCTGTCCTCAGATACTCAGCGCTATTTATAAAATGCACAGAGCCGAACGAGTTACTCACTGGAGCGCGCGTGTCTATTTCCAGCCTTAAAGAGCGCTTTATTATTTCTAGGTTGTTAGCTTTTTTTGGCTGCAGGGCCATTTATAGCTCGAGTTCAACGATGTTGCCTCCCCACACATTCACCCATTGCACATTTACACTTAGTGAAGTGTGAGAGCAGAAACGTCTCATCTGTCAGTGCATCTTGTCGAGGTGTTCTGAGCACTGCAGCCTGGAGTCTATCTGAAAAGCAGACAGAGAAGGACAGTTAGGATGTGATGAATGAGATAAGGGGAAAAAAAGAGAATAACTAGAATGGTACTCAGTAAATCTGCTCCAAATGTCTTTTTTTCCATCAAGATCCATGAATTATTCCCTGGGAAGATGGTAAAAACGTTGAAAAACAGCCTTTGACCCGCACTTAAATTTTATGGGTTCCTCCCTGACCCATATTGCATCCTTCCACTAAGTCTTGTGAAAATCTGTTCAGTAGTTTTTGGGTTTTCTTTCTTACAAACATTTGGGCAGGGGTGAAAACACAACCTCCCTGGCATATAGGTAATAAATGCTGCATGTGGTTTTAAAGGAGCTGTCTAAATGTTTTTGTGCATCCTTGATTCCTAAAACAGTTCTTCTCCCTGCAGGTTGAGCCAGCTGGCACGACCACCCGCCTCAGTCAAGGTATGACCAGGTAAATTCCCCTTTTCCCATAAAGATGCTTTTACACTTTAAGTGTTTATCACATCAGCAGTTCCATCAGCAGTTTATGTTGTTAATAACAGAGATGGTCCTGGAACATTAACATTTATAAAGCTCCCTGCTCATTACCTAGCAGGCGTCATGTAGAGCTGTTTTCATTAGAGATCCGAAAACAAGTTTTCCTGCACTTTGTCAGACACCTTGACCCGAGGCTGTGCAGAGCTTTATGGGCGTGTAAACACTGCGGGTGATAAACATAATGATACACAAATGATTGATCAATGATTCATTTCCCATCTCATTGTACGCAGGGAGTGTTTCGACATTCTTGGAGGGGTGATTATTTGACCAATTCTCTGGCATCTTATCAAACCCTGAGCTGCCTTCTCCCCTTCCTGTCTTTATCAGACTCTCACACACGGTGCAAAACTGATTATTAACTGAGGGGGGGAAACACAATATTGACAACGCAGTAGGACAATGGAGAGCTGCTGTAGTGGCACGTAAAGAATAATAAGATTAAACTCTGACTCACTGATTAGAAGGACAAGGAACTTATGGGACTTATGTGTAAAGGTTATCATGTGTAGCCAAAGGTTCAAGGTTTAGCTCTCTCTTATCATTCCCTTCTAAAGTTATCTGGGTTTATTTGTGTGTAAAGAAATAGGTCATGAATGTGTATTCTGACTGCTGCATTTATCATAACCACCTCCCAATAATTTCTTGTTTCTTCTGAGTGAATTTATCAGTTTTCAACAAAGGTTAAATCATGAGTTTACTTATATGTCTAGTGGTAAAATGACAGGATTTCTAAGAGATCATCTGCCAAAATGGCATCTAATCACAGTATTTGTGGGCAGTAGTCATATTAGTGGATTTTTTGGTTTGTAGGGCCAAATTCATGCTGAGTGTCACAGTGCAGCATGCGAAGGAAGGTCATCCAGATGGTGCTTTCTTTCAATTTGACTTATATGCTAATCATATATAGGTTATTCCCTCACCCATACCCCATCCTTCCACAAAGTTTTATGTAAATCCGTCCTGTAGTTTTTGCATAATCTCGCAAAAGGCCAAACGGACAGGGCTGAAATCATAACCTCCTTTTCCTAAGACTAATCATCTACAAATAATAATTCAGGGTGTAGATACAAATTCGAGAGATATATTTCTGAGAATTCTCATATTCATCTGCAGCTTTCTGAATTTCAAATCAGCAACAGTTGAAGTGTCCTTAAATATGCTAACAACATAAGTTATGGGTTTGCAGCTACATCACCACGTCACTTCTGGTAAAAAAAGAAAAGAAAAGGGAATACAGTTGTATGATGTATTTCCCATCACAAACAACTTGCATGGTGCACAGATGAATGTGACACGATGGCAGTGATGGAGGGAGGAAATAAATCTAAAAATAGGTCTGCTTTGGAAAACACTGCAGTATCAGGGTGACTTGGTTTGTAGCTTTGTGTGGTCTGACTGTGGTAATGCGGCAGCGCTACTACCACCGGCAGGGTCACATTAGCATTCACAGCTAATGACAGGTGACATGAAAGGCTCCCGCAAGGCTGTGACACTAATCATGTTTTAGTGTCAGTTTACGCCGTCGGCCTCAGGGTTCTGTCAGTCCTCTGTCACACACAGCAGCTAAAGCATTTTCTCCATGTTGTCTGATGGGACTATATATAGATACTTACAGTTTCGCAAGGCCAGAGTTGAATTTTCCTATGAACTGATCATTTCAAGTCTAACGTGAACCCACTGTGGAGCTCTTGGCTGACTGAAACCAATTGTTTTGAAGGCTAATCCAATCAATGACAAACAATACTTCCTCCCTTGGGCCTGACTCACAGATCAATACAGTTCACAGTTCACCCACTCTCTGTTGACATCCTTCACATTGAGCCCAGAGCCACAACATGCTGCCCTGAGAAACAATTCAAGGAGAAAGACAGGGATTTGGTGGCATGGTCAAGTATTGAAATAGCAAAAAAAAAAAAATTTCTAACAGTGAGTGGAAGTGACGGAGAGAAATTTAGTGTAGGAGGAGAAAAGACACACGGCCACTGAATAAATGAGGATGAAGAGATGCAGGGATCGGCAAAGATGTTATACATCACAAGCTGTTAATCTCTGGTGCTGCAATCCCAGCGGAGATCAGATACACAAGATGCAATTAACTTCTTCTGCAGGAGGAAGCAGCCTCCACTGACCAGATTCACCCCACACTGCACGATGGATAGGGGACATCCCCAAGCCAAGGACTGTCAAACGTTCAGCATGAGATCTGACAGCAGAGCTCCAGACTCATTTATTCAGTAACTAGAAATCCAGTGGTATATCAGGGAGGAAAATTTATGACGTGGCAAATCTCTGATTAAGTTGCTGCAGTGCAAACTTTTACTGTTGTGTTTATACAGCTGCAGGCGCATACTTTCCTTCTTTGTGCTCTTATCATGAAGCAAAAGCTATGAGTCCTGAGTCGGCAGTGTTCAGTGGGTTCTCAATAGGCAGTAACCACAAGCCACACAAACACACCCACCCACACACACACACACACACACTGGCACACACAGCCTGGCTCTAATGTGACCTCCAGCTTACAATACTTTCCGAAAGCCCCTTGTCTCTCAGCTCTTCTTGTTTCGTCATCAGATGAATAACTGAATAGGAAGACACCAAAGCCCTTCTCTCTTTAACACATCTTCAGTCTCATTTACAAGACCAGTCACTGCTCCGTTACATCTGTCTTCGATTGTGAAGTCGCATCTATAGCAATGTCAGTCTGGCCATGATCCGTCATGATTTACGTCGTCTCAGCCAGAAACAACATCAAGTCAGGTTGATAAGCGTTTGTTTCCCTGCCAGACCAGTCAAATCTCCCTTTGGCTTGGGAGGCCAACAGTCTCCAGCACAGGGTCAGTGAATCTGTGAGGAGGCAGGCCAACACATACCTCTGATTATCTCAATGCAACGCTTACACTGAAACACATTTTTTGGCTCAAACAATTCTGAATTTACAGTTTATTATTATTGAGGAAAAATGGTTAATCTCTTAATACATAAGAGGAATGTATCGATCTCTACAACCAAAACACATCGTTTTAGAAAATCCATTAATCCCCGTTTAATTGCACTTGTTTGTATGCTGCTGTTTTGTGCATATCTGTATTTGTCGATGTCTGTTGGAGTGTGTATGTGTGTGTTTGAGAGTGCATGACACTAGCTCATAACATTGCTCTGCCAAGCTCCCTGCACTAATCCTATTGTAGCAGCAGCAGAAGCTCGTGCTGTGGAGCATCCAGGGCACTGTGATGACAGACCACAACAAACATCGGGATGCTCCGCCATGATCCAATATGAAATACACTTTCCCCTCTGGCTTCATGTGTTAATGTAGAGAACGGTGTCGTATTGTCATGAATAATTAAATGTCACAGTCTATAAATTTGACTATAAGTGAGCATAAAGCAAATAAAGAGGGTTTACTTCTTCTGCATCTTTGTTTATTGGCGGGTGGCAATCAACATCAAGGTGCATTGCCGCCATCTACTGTGTCTTCTTCTTCTTCTTGATGGAAATGAAGACGATTTTAAGTGAGATTCCCTTTGAATCAAAGGCCTTTTCCAGTCCTTGTTATGTAGAGCACGGAAAGCAAATATTTAATAGAAATAAGGCAAAGAGGAGTGGTGGAAGAAAAAGACCCACCGGTTGACCGAGCAAAGAAGAAGAAGAAGAGATATAGTAGGGGGCAGTAATGCACACGTTCGTTGCCAATTGCACACTTGGCCAATACAACATTGAAACTCTTCCTAAACATGTATTTATAAGTACTGATAATCTAGTTATTCAACACTGACTGCAGCCATTCAGCTGGGTAACTAGTACTTTTACTTTTTTTACTTATACTTAGCATATTTAATGGTCAGTCAAATTTTATTTTGAAAAATAATTTGCATTCTCCATATTCTTGCTGAAAGCTTAAGAAATATATTACTCAGAAAACCATTTCCCTCACTAATCTTTGTGTATGAACGCCTTGTAACATGTGCATAGTAACGCAACTAAATGAAAACCCCATCTGCAGATACATGTGTGTTGCTGTGGCCTATAGCTTGCTGCTGTGAGTCTGCATTAAACAAACTGTTATGTGTTGGTATGCAGGAATATATTTAGGTCACAGGCTGGTCCTGGTGGGCAGACGTTATCAGGAAGGTCCTAACAGATGGCCCAGGAGCTTTCAACCTCAACATTAATTACATGAGAATGTCCTGTGGTGATGCCGGGCTCTAACTGCTCCGTTTCCTCCCCTCCCTTCCCTCTCTGTCTCCCTCTCTCAGGTGACAACCAATGAGGAGCAAGAAAACTCGACAAGGATGACAACATGGAGATAAAAAGGGAGGGCGGCTGATCCATTCTTTAAACTCCACCCGGGGTCAACTTCCCTGTTATCACCACCACAACCCTCCTCCTCCTCCTCCTCTTCCTCACTCCCGCTGCTCTTCCTTTTTACATGCTCACTGAGGCTGCTCAGAACTGGAACGATGGAGCGTCTTGCTCCTTCTTGAACTGCCTCTAAATCACAGGCTGGTGAGAACACGCACGGTGGCGTGCTGGTGTGCCGGAGCCACCTGACCAACAGCTGGTGACCTCCTCACCTCTGTCTGTGATCCACTGAACCTTCCAAGGAGGAGGTGGGGTGGCAACAAAAAAAAAAAAACACGATCCCCTCCAACTCCTGATGCCATACTACTGAATGCTGATCATGAACCTGCCCTGTCTGCCTGCCTGTCTGTCTCTGTATGTCTGTCTGTTTCATCGGCTGTCGATCTGCACCAAGTGCCATAGCGTCATTACATTCCTTCAGACTTTGCACTGACCACCAACAACACTCATGACTTCATCACTGTCTATGTTTACATGCACACGATAATTCAGCTTTTGGCTTAGAGATTGGTCTGATCCGGCTGTTAACAGGAACATCTGCTGTCATGAAGCTCCTCTGGTGTCCATGCAGATTTTCCACAATTTGTCGTACCCAGACTTTTAACACTTTGAGCTTGAATAGCTGTAAAATTCAAGTTACGTGGAGCAAATGCTGCAACTTCAAATGATTCTAAAAGTGTTGCATGTGTTCAAACACATACCAGTGTGACTAACATCACATCACTCTGCACATCTTATCGCAGTATTAACTTCAAACTTCAACACGCTGTTTACACGATGGATGCAGTATTCTCATTATCAATCAGAATTTCGCTGTGCATGTAAACATGGCCGTCAACCGGGAGCCAAAGAGTGTTACCGTCTAAAGGTCAGTGAATCGGCCTTAAAAATCGGAGCTTTCCCATCTGCATCTGTTTCCTATGACCCTCGTATGTGTGTTCTTAGTTTTTAGCTTTTAGCACTTAAATCAGCGTAGACAGAGCCACAGGACATGACAGAGATAAGATATTTCTGCACATTATTTTTCATAAGGTTGCTTGTGATTTTTTAATTCTTTTTATTGTGTGATGATGGATTTTAAACTGGAGGTTATAGTCTATGATTGTTTCAGAAGGAAGCTGAAGCAATCTAGGCTCTTTTAAGCAGACACTGGATTATATATTTTTATCATTTATAATGTTTTTTCCCAAAAGTACATGACATGCTACTCTTTTGACTTTTAAGGAGGAACACCTGAGTTTCTGTGTATATAGGAAGCTTCTTTTTTTTAATCCACACTGCCTTATCAGTGAGCTGGGTTTCCCTTTATAGAGGGTAGCTCGCTGATGGTTGGTTTTAAATTTCTGGACACACACACCCACACAGAGGCCGAGTCACTTTTAATGACAGATTCCAGTCCCGTCCATGCTGGTTACAATAACAGCCATTGTTATAAGAATCTTTTCCCCCTCGCAATTGTAGATATCCCATTCCACTATCAGTAGAAAGGACCTTTGTAAAGAGCTACTCGTTATTAGAAATCGAAATCCCAGACAGGAACAGGAAATCCTTCAGCTCCAGGTCTGACTGACGGCGGCCACTTATCACTGATAATGGATAAGTGAGGAATCTCCCTTTGAAAGCAAATCCTCAGATGTCACTGCAGGAGCTGAGTCGACATAGAGATTTACATAGGAAGTACACAATAGACAGAAAACCTGGATTTGATTTTACCACGCTATGCATTAATAAAAAAAGTACCTTACATGTAATTATGCAAATCAAATGCAGGAGGATTACAGCTAGTTTATTCTCTGTACAAAGGCAATAGCTTCATTAGGATCCTGTTTTTGTGTGTTACCTGGTTAATACAATTTTACTGAAACCTTGAAGCCGCTAATGTAGTCAGAGTTGTTGAAGCGTGTGCATAAAAGGGCACAAAAAGCACTTTGCTGACCTTCAAGAAGACACGGGAGGAGGAGGAGGGGGGTGGATTGACCTGAGCGGGGGAAGAAAGGGAGACACCGGGGTGGCTGTTGTAGCGTTGATGTGCGAGCGTGACTCACTGGCTGTGTGCGGGTGCTGTGTGGGCTGTGTCCTTGTTGCCAGATCATTAGCTTTAGCTTCTCTCCAACATGCTTGGAGCTCTCTGAATGTGATTCTGTCCAACCTGATGTGTTTACACACCTACATCTTCTTAACGAACTAAGCTTCTTACCTTTTACCGTTTTACTTTTATTTTTTAATGTTACCAAATGAGTTTTTTAATAACTACAATAGAGATGAATATATATATAGCTATATCACGCAGCAACTTTTAATATATTGTAAATGATGGCTTGGATGCAATGTATTTATTTGTTTGTTACCATAATGAAGAATAATCTATAAAGGGAAGTTTATGGTTTGAGTATATTACACTTTGTTATATGTCCTTGGGTTTTAGAAAATGCCTGTTTGTTCATCCTTTTGTATCACAACGAAACAACACAATACCTTTCTGCATCACTTCCTGTTTACTGTGATAATAAATTGGACATCTCACACCTTTTTCCTCACCGAGACAACTAAAGAAATGCAATGTGATAGGTTGAAGACGACATATTGGTGTCATTGTTAGGGTGCAGTACTGTTGCATTCATTTTTGTAGCTCATGTATGTGTTTTTTTTTTCAAGTCATTTTGCACACTTAATGTTCAGGGATTAATTTGAACCATAGGCTGGCATCTACTTCTGTCACGTCATGCTCACAGTAAGGAAGTGCTGACATGTTGTCATCTCATCAGAAGGAGCGTTGGCTCTGGTCAGATGTGTCATGAATTGCGTTTCACTTTTGCCAAATTTAGTTGATTTAGCACCAATCCTCTAGGAGTAGAAATCCATTGTGTCGAGTAATTCTGTGTTAATAATCACTGAAGTGATGTTTTGAGAATATGCTACTTCTTGTCATACAAGAATCGTGTAAAAAGAGACCTATTTCTGATGTTGAACAGAAAACAGAGGTTATTTTTATTTTTAGAGCAAGTCAATACAGGGGAGGTTGCGGAGAAATCAAAGGATGTTATTCTAGAACTGAACTGTGATGCTCCCTCCGGGGGGTTGATAGAAAATGTACATGTCTGTAAATCAAATAAACCTATTTAATCACTTCATACCACCACGCTGTGTCTGTTTCTCTTCATTCTGTCAAACATCCATCACATCTCAGTGAAGCACCATCCAGCAGTGCCTCCATTAAGAAACAGTCTTTGACTTAATCATTTCCACCTCATCTATATTAGGAGCTTTCTTCTCCTCAAGGCAGAGATAATAGTTTTCACACCACAAACGTGTCTTCAGTCTAATGCAACTGAGATGAGCCTTATATTCAGCTTGACTGTTATTTTTTGAATGTTCACATCCATATGCCATGTGTGAGTGATGCTGTTGCTTTAAAAATAAACACCACATCCCCCGTTGTTTTCCCAGGCCCTAACCCAGGCGTGAGATTTTTCAGACTGCAGGTGGCATTAAGAATATTGATCTGAGAGTCGATTTAATCGAGTTTCAAGTTCATTTCCACTTGTTTCAGTGTTGCGAAGCGAATGCAGGTTGAGGAATGAAGTTGGTGATATCAGGCAATGGACCGACAGCTCTTCATGGTATCAGCACTGGAAAACACATAGTGTTATGTATACAGAGCAGTAATACATCACATATGAACAAATTACCTGGATAGAATCTATTGTAGCTGGTTTTGTCATTTGGATGTGAATATGAATGTATACATTGTACATAGTGGGGTTTGTAGGGTGGGGCTTTGTTTTATTTGACACAAAGATGGAAGTAATGAAAAACTAATCATGACATAATGAGGGATGACTATCTCAGTACACTGTATCCCTCTGAGGGTGCAAAGTGAGTCATTCAAATAAATTAGTAAACAATAAATTAATAATAAATCATTTAGTAATTAGTTGATTTCCCAATAGCATGACATGACATATCCCATAACACTGATTCAGAGCAAACTAGGAAAAGCTAAAGGAGATTCACAAAGTTGAATAAATAATCATTAACTATCCAGCTTTTATTAACCCAGTGTTTAGGATTCAGACACAGGATCAGGATCATAATCGTTCATTAACAGGTTAATAACACAGGTCAGTTAAAACTACAGCATACCAGTCCAAGCAGCGATAACTATGTTGTGATTAGTTGTGATTTAGCAGCGGTGATGCAAACATGTCCCACCTTTATGGGAGATACATATGTCTTTGAGTAGTAATTAGTAATTAAATGATTAAAACTACCTATTTATTTCATATATTATAGTAATATATGTTGTACTATATTTCTTGCCTACTCCTTTGCACAGCTTTTATCAGTCTCTTTATCTAAGTGCTGTCAGAACTGAGTTAATGCACAGCCTCGTAATGACAGTACACAAGGATGAGTCAGGTCCAAGGTAATAGGTTAATGCAAAAACTCTTTTGTTTTGAACTATCAGGACTGAGCAGTGTTTTCCCCCTCTCTCCTCATCGTTGCAGAGACTTACAAAGGCTTGATTTTTATCACTGTGAGAGACGGCCAGAGTCTGTGAATGAACTACTGTATTGTTCAGGTGCAGTGAAGCAGGCCTCTGTGAGGCTCCGTTTGTAAAGTAATCTCACGGTCTCCAGAGTGGTTTACAGACCAACTTACACATCACACACACGACATCCCTGCTGTGGATGCAGTCAAGAAAAAAAAACATAATATTTACCTTCACAGGAAGTGAGGAAGTTCTCAGCTGAAGGCCCTCTGTGTGCTGGCATTCATTAAAAAGGGCAGAGTTACCTAACATGGCAGCTAATAGCACTAATGGACATGTCTATGACAGGGCAACACAACACTGGGAGTAACTATACACTGCATTTGGACAAAAGAAGACTTGAGACGTCGGCTGTGAGGCCTCTAATTAAGCAAAGCCACATTTTAAACAGATCCCTCTATCCGACGTGCCCTCTGTTTGAAGGGGGGAAGATTATATAGGAGCCAGAGGAAGCTCTAAGTGGAGAGTCAGTGTGTGATAGCTGGATGACCCAGAGAAATCAACACTCTTTTCCCACAGTCAGACCGATATGTACCCCCAAAGTCAGACGCTTTAATCTAAAAGTCAACACATCTAGTTATGCAGCGGGCAGGAAACACTCGGGGCGTAGACAGGAAAAGGGGAGCCATTCTAGCGAGCGCTGGAATTTCCATTTGCACTTAAATTCACAGAGGACAAACTTTGTACAACACGCAGGGTAAATGCAGGTTGAGAAATAGCCACCGGTGAATGCGGAGTTCTAAAATGTCAGCTTGTTCTGGGTCTGAGAGCACACACCGCTACACACTCTGAATCACAGGGGCCTGTTGTTTAGAAGTGAACCCATTTGTCCATGAAGCCTAAAGTCAGCTTTCAGGTCAAGCAGAAAGACATGGGATTTGTAAAGCTTTCAAGATTTAAACTAAACGTCCATGTTACACTTGAAAGTGGAACTATTTCTTTGTGTGTTCATGTGTTTTGTTAAACAGACGTCTTAAATATTTGATGAGCTTATTAAAACATTCTCTTTGTGTCTGACTCATTCTCTTACTGATAACAAGGATGATTATATGGTCTATTGACATAATTAGTCCACCTTTTTAAAGACCATTAAAGATTTGTTGATGTGGATATAATTTAAGGTACCACACTTCCATTCTGTTTAACTTATTAGTATGTACAGGGTGTATCAATAAAACCCTCAGTGAGTAACCAAGACAAATATTTAATACAGAGGAAGAAGGCAACACTTTGCAATAATGGTATAAATCTATGGTCTTATCATTTAAATATTTCAGGAGGCAAATACTAAAAGTTACACATAAAAACAAAAATTGTGGGCGTTTATTGGGTATTAAACATAAGTACTGTGGATATTCAACAATATATCATGTGTTATATTGAAGTTTTTGTTTCACAAAGTAAGTGTTCCATACGCAGTTTGGCTCCTTTTTATGTCATTGCTGTTGCACTGTACACCCTGTTGTTAAAACATTACTACGGTGTAATTTTTTTGAGGCCCGTACTTAAGAGAAACATTGTTATTTCCTGATTCACTGCACTTCTTGCTCCTAAACGTTTTATTGGTGGCTTGTATGTTCAGTAATTACACTGTAATTTAGGGTGCTACGATATGAGGTGTTTACCAGAATGCTGCCACAGTTTACAATTTTCATGGATGACCAGTTCTACTATGAATAGTAACTTGAATTAGAGCATGCAATTTCTTACACTTCAGTCTTTGACCTTATTTTAGAGTGCAAATGGAATAACCCAGCATTGTGTGATGTTTTTTTTTTTTATCTTCATAGCCGTCCAACAGCCCAGCAATGTAAAATGGAAAACCCTTATAATCTTTATGCTCTCTTTAATTCCAAGTGATCAAAGATAATCTGCTTTGTCTCTAGCAGATCCTCCCTAAAGGAGCGATGAGTGTCAGCAGTGTGAAAACATGCAGAGGCTTTAAATTAAAGATCTAAAATCTATAATAAATAACAACCACAACTGGTTCATCTCAGAAACATCTCATTCTAAAATCAGAGCACAAAAGGTTTATGTTGTGGTGAAAACCGCACACACTCATCATTGTGAGGCTTTAAACTAACAATATGTCGAGAAACATGACTCAAACCAAAGAAAACGTCACCAACATCCTAAACTGGAATAAGTGATTTCAGACAGAGGGAATCTCTGTAGGAATGTCTGCATTTTCAGACTACCTCCTAGATGTTTTTTTTTTTTATTTCCACAGGTAATTAGGTGGATCTGATGAATAATTGAGTTACCAGCACAAAGGAAGAGGGAGATCACACAGAACCAGAATTAGACAATCTGCAGGAAAACACATGAAACTGAGGTATCTGCAGTTTGCAGTTCACATCTCTTCTGCAAATCTCTCACCTCTCTCTGTTCACACCCTACCAACTTTTCCGACCTGTCTCACAACATAGATACAATGATATTTTCGCTCAAGCAAGTGAGGTGGAAACATTACACAAGTCTGTGTTTGCCATGTTCCCAGACCTGTGGTGTGATACTGTCATCTGCATTTGATGTGAAATACTATCGTCTGCATGCGAGTATGAGATCCAGGGTCTACTTTCCAGAGTTTTAATATTATTTCAGGGTGGAAACGATTTGGTTTTAGTGTACACGGTTCAAAGCACGTCACATTTGTATTCCACGAAAATAAAGCATGAATAAATGAGGTTCGGTACATGCTGTACCACAAGAAGACAAAGATGAAAACTGACAAACCAAGTCACCCACTGGCCCATATAGCAGATGTTTCTTTCCACTGACAAGACTGAACATAAGGTTCAAAATGAGTAACACAGAGTGAAGAACAACAGACATCTCTCCAGGCTATTGGTGCAATTGAGGGGAGAAGGCAAGAACAGCGCTTCGCTGCATTAGAGGTTCACTTGGGGTGGGGACGTGCTGCTGTCATTTGGAGAAGACACAGCAAAGAAAACCACAGAAAGTGGTGGTAATAAAACATAAACTTCGAAATGTAGGAGACCAGAATGTGTAAAACAGTGAGAGAAATGAATGTAGTGTTTTCATTCCATTTCCATCCAAAATCAAAATACTTTCCTTTTTGTAAAATTACACTTGGTGGTAAGGAAATCAACTTGCTTGTCAGAAAGTTGTCAAACTCCTCATGGAGTGCTTTGTTTTCATTGTGTTTACGTGAGGTGTGGAGGTGAACACAAATACAGGACACTGGTTCAGGTGATAAAAACAAAAACGGTATTTTAATTGAAACAAAGGTTCTTGGGTCAGAGTAAGAAATCAAAGTCCAAAAGCAGATAATCTGAACTAAGAGCAGAGCTGGTGTAACACAAGGACAAGAACAAGACAAAGCCAGGAAACAAGATGTACCAAGAAAAGACGGTGCACAGGGAAAGACGCCGAACTGACAAAGACGAAGGGAACTTTATACACCAGAGAGGCCGCGGTGATTGAACACAGGTGAAACACATGAGGAACAGGTGCAGGCAATCTCAAGGGCGGGAAACAGGACAAAGGCACAAAATAAAGCTGGAGACACACGAGGAGCAAAAACATTTCAAAATAAAACAGGAAACTGAGAACT